CCAACATCGGGTTTGGTTCACCGTGATCGCGAAGGTTCAACGAATCCAAAGATACCTTTCTTTTTTTCGAGCGATGAAAACTGCCCGAGCGCCAGCCGCCCGAAGGCGCGCGGAGTGCCGCGGCAGAGGGTCCGTCAGAGTCCTGCCTGCCAGCTTGGCTGGCGGCCGGCCGCGCCGCGCCGCGCCGCCAGCCAGGAGCGCTTCTGCGCACCCGTTCTGCGCAGCGCGGCTCGGGCCTCGCCCCCCTCCACTGGCGAGCTGTGCTGTGTGTGTGTGTGAGCGCGGTGCGGCGTCGAGTCGAGAGAGGAGGACGAAGGCCTAGGGCCTGTATTTTCTTGTAAATATTGTTGTTGGTTGAATGAAAGGTGAGTTAATTTAGGGTTTTTCACTTTGTTTGAAGTTTGTCCATCACCGATAACGCATGTAAATATGCTGACAATCGAAATTGTTGTCCACAGAATGCCGAAGTGTCCAACTAGGCGACGCTTTACCTCTGTGAAAGGGTTAACCCGAAAACGAAGAAGTAATGAAAGTGTTACCTCAGAAAATGTTTCAGGAACGGTGAGTTTGCAAGCGATACTGTCAAACGGGTAATTATTACTGTACAGTTTCGTAAGTTAGCTCATTTTACTTTTGTTTCCAGTGTTCACCGTCTGATGTGGGCGAGCCGTCTTCTGCATCTTCTAAAGATGATAGTTCCTCAGAACAGGTACATTGCCCATCAGACTTAAAAATAATTTTAAAGTATAATTATTTGTTGTTATTTTTATTAAAATTTCCTTTTTTATTTCAGGACTCATATGTTTCTCTTGAACATGATTACTGCCTCTCTGATCATGGTGTTTCGAACAACAAAGAAGATAGTGCTGTACATTCTCTTAGTACGGAAGAAACAGTGTCAGTGACTGAACTGCTCCTTGAAGCTCAGAAAAAAGTTTCACTATTCCTTCCTGTGCGCTGGATTTGTATTGTGGGCAGGGACTTATTACATGTGCTGTGCTTGTCAGCTCAGAACAATAAGACAGTGCAAAGGACACTCGAGTTTTCTCCTGGAGGTCAAACAGAGTTATTTGTACATTGTCATCCTGTCCCTCTTGATGAGTATACTAGTGCATTAGACCCTCCACTCCCACTTGATTCTGATAGTGTTAATTTATTTGTGGATAGAGTTGTGTCAGTTGTGAACAATGTGAATGACCGTGAAATATGCAGTGGCTATGATGATGATCAAAAATATGAGCATGTTTGGTCTCAATGTCCTTTTGGTAAAATTGATGAAAACCCTTATAGAGAGTGTAGGTATGCAAAAACATTTAGGTCAGTAACTTGTTCAAGATTAATCAAAGGCAGTAAGTGGCGATGCACTGAGTGCTCCAAGCTCCACGTTCCCATTCAGAGAAGAGTCAAAGCCGCTGCAATGGATCTCCGAAGTAAATTTACTCCCAACAAGTTTCTTACCGAAGAGCAAAAACTGCAGAAGCTTGCAGAGCAGCGCAGGGATATTGACCTTGTCTCAAAGCAACTGAAACGCTCTCAAACAAAAATGCAAGAGTTGATTCAAAAGCAAGGTGTTTTTCTTGAAGAGTCTCTTTCAAATGATTTAACAGAACTTCTGAAAAACCACAACCTCACCCCTGCACAGTCTGTGTTTCTCCAGCAGCAAGTCAAGGCATCTCAACAAAAAAATGCCTCTGGTATGCGGTGGCATCCAACCATGGTACGCTTTGCTTTGTCTTTACATCTAACTTCTCCAGCCGCTTACAAAGTTATGAGAGAAACTGGAATGGTCAAGTTGCCCTCTAGCCGGACACTCTTTAATTACTCCCATGCAAAGCCTATAGAAGAGGGCATTGATAAAGCAGTATTAGAAAAATTAGCTGCTGATGTTGAAACCATGTGTAATAAAGTAAATGAATTATCAGGTAAACAAGAAACTCACAAAAAATATTTTGTCTTGATGGGAGATGAGATGCACATCTCACAAAATCTTGTTTTTCAAAAGTCATCAGGTAAGCTTGTAGGCTTTACCACTCTTGACCAACTTGACAGGGAAGTTAAAATATTAGAGCAATTAATAGACAATTGTGATAAAGACTGTGAAGAGACTATTGCTAGCAAAATTATGGTTTACATGGTGAAAGGAGTAAGCAGTGGTATAAAGAAAGTTATTGCAACATACGGTGTAGGTAATATGTCAGCAATACAAATGAAGAGATGGACTTGGCAGGTAATTGGAGCTTTAGAGAGGAGTGGCATAGCTATAGTGGCTTTTGTTTGTGATGGGTCAAGCATAAACAGAGCATTCATTAACTCTCACAAGCCAGCAACTCCACACCCTTCAGGAATAGTGTTTGATACTTGGAACAAGTGTGTAAGGAGTAGGAAACTTTATTTCCTTTCTGATGTGCCACATCTGCTTAAAACAACCAGAAACTGTTTTCTGAATTCTAGGTGGGATAGGAAAAAAAGTAGGCGCCACATGATAAAGAACAGAAGCAGAATTTCTTGGGATCATGTTATAAAGCTCTATGAAGCCAAGCGTGGTAAGACATTGCGGAAGAGTTACAAACTGAATGCCATGAATATTTATCCAGATTCTTACGCACGCATGAAGGTTAAATATGCTGGTCAAGTGATGAGTAACACAGTCTCACTTGACTTGCTAAGTCAAGGGTGGCCAGAAGTTGTTGAAACCGCACACTTTATTAAGAAAGTCAACGATTGGTTCGACTGTCTGAACGGTGCTCACTCTTCAGTTGCTAAGAAGAAAAACAATGCTTTGCTTGCACCTTACACCTCTAAAGATGATGAACGCTTTCAACTTCTGAGTGAATTTTTAACTTATTTGGATGATTGGGAGTCTGAAGCACGCAACCCTAACGCTTCCATTTGTTCCAATGCCACTGTTGACGATTCAGTAGCCAACTTGGGTGAACTGGAAGAAAGTGAAATTGATGAAGGTGGAGCACTTCCAGAAGAAGAAACTCCTGCTACTATGAGGACACTTAGTAAACAAACTATAACTGGAATCAAAATGACAACTCTTGCATTTGAACCTATGGTTAAGTTTTTATTAGATGAAGGTGTCACATTCATCAATGCTAGGGTCTTTTGCCAAGACCCTTTAGAACAACATTTTGGCAAAGTGAGAGCGGGGCAGGGAGGAAGTACTAACCCGAACCTACACCAGTCACTCAAAAGAACTCGAGACCTGGATACTATTGGAGATTTGGGTATCAAGAAGAAAAAAGGAAACTCCGGTGAATGTGAAGATGTAGTTGAAGTGACAACTGAAAAGCTTCCAAAGATAAAATGCACTCACCACTCAAAGTTTCTGAACATTGATTAATTTTTAAGTTCTATGTCTGTGATTACGATGTATCCCCACATCTGATTTGTGATAATTAACTAGTAAAAGGTTTCACTGTAATAATGAAACTTTTTTAAGATACTCATTTTATTTGCGTCTGCAATATTAATAAACAATTCAAACATGTTTCACATAAATGAAGCCTTATTTAAGTAATTAAATCATTATCACAATTTGTCTCATACTCTTCCTTTCATTCATAAAATCAAACACAAAACACAACATAGAAGATTAAGTAATTTCACAGCATGACATGACTTAAGAACAATAAGATGTCAATATCAAAAAAATAAAATACAGTGAGATCAGAAGACATCAACAATCCTTAACTAAATTTTTGCGACTAGCAACAGCATGCCTTGTTGGCATACTTACTTTAGGTTTATTCCTTATAGCATTGAGCCTTCGCCTAGCTATTCCACGGCCACAAGCTTTACAGAATGCTGACACTACATCATTCATGAGGCCTACTGACATATCATGAGACAAGGAGTTCCCTATAACACTATCCCATAGAAGACTAGTATCAGAATCACTTACTAACTTAATTATTAAATCATAATCTATAGATCCATTTTTAGATTCATTTTGGTACACAATATTAGTCAGACTGATGAAAAACTTTTGGCACTGTACAGTAATGTATAACAAACGACCACGGTCTAACTGCCTTGTCCATTCAGCATCTATGTCCCCTACTGCCTTCTCACTCAGCACTTGGGATTTAAGTACGCTATGAATATCTCTCCACTTTGAATTGCACTTATACCTAAATGCTATACGAAGGTAGCCTTTCATTATTGAGCCCGCTACATAATATATAACTTGTTTGTCCTCATGGTCTAAAACAGGCACAGGCTTGACAGTTCTACTCACCACATTACTTCTAAATGTACTTGAAATAAATTTAAATATTTCAGAAACCAATGCAAAACAAAATTCAAGAAAGAATTGAGATTGGACATCCATATCAAAATTAGACAGGCTAAGGACAGACATTCTTTCTTCAAAGAAATCCTCATCGTTTAAAATACTTTCCATTTCCCCATCAAGATGCTTAAGAAGTGCAGATGGTAGTAAACACTTCTTTTTATCAATGGAACCTGCTAATTTATTAATTATAGGAGTACTGAAAGCATCTACATTCTGGTTACAAGAAATTTCACCCAAGAGTTCCCTGAATATTTGTCCTCTTGTGCCGTAACTGGGGCAGTTGGAAACTTCGGTTAAAGCTTTCATAGTTAAATCACTTTTATTTAGCATAATCTGAGCACAATCAGGGAATCGAGAAGCAGCAACTGTAAACAAAACATTATCGTGTTAGTTATTGTTA